TTTAATGTTGTTTTCGTAGCGCGCTGGCTGAGCGGGCGTTGTGTTCTCGCTCCCCTCCTCGGTGTTATGCAAAGGGTGGCGAGCGAGCGGCCGGCGGCCAGTGGAGGTGTCGACAGCGACCCTCGCGAACAAAAGGTGCGCGTCGGCGACCGCCCCGCGGCCGCGCGCCGACGGCAAGCCCAAGCCACCGTGATTACCGCTGGTCAGACTGGTCGGCCAGCAGCGCCAGCAGTGCTCGGAACGCGGTCGGAACGCGACACACTGTCATTTGGTGGAGGGGAAGCTCCAGCGGCGCGGCGTCGCTCCGTCTCTCTCGCACCCCTACGGGACGCCGCGGGAGTGCGAGAGAGACGGAGCGATGGAAGCAGTGTTCGGAGCCTGCCGGCTGCGCCGCCGGGCCTGAGCGTCTTGTGTGTCTTGCGTGCCCCTGCAAGGCCCCTGCCCCGCAGCCGGGGCGTGTGTCTCACCTGTCCAAATGGACGGGCATGGCATGGCCTGGCCGTGCAAACACCTCTCCTCTCCGACGGAGCAGCTTGCCCGGCTGGGCTCTGCTGGGCTCTGCTTTCTGGTCCCCGGGCCGCCGCCCTCACCGCACTGCACTGCAAGCCCCGCCGACCTTTTCTCATTTGTTTGCCCAAAGCGGCTGCCCGGCTGCGACAGTGGAAATGTCGGGCGCGTTTTGGGTTTTTGGCTGCTTCTGGCGCGGCGGTGCGGACGCATTAGTTTTGCGGCTTGGCGTCGCGACGGTGGCGCCCTCCGCTCCTCACACTGTAAACTGATTCCGAGACGATCTGTCTCTCTCGCACCTGTGCGGGACGCCCCTTGAGTGCGAGAGAGAGAGGGAGAGAGAGAGAGAGAGAGAGAGAGAGAGAGAGAGAGAGAGAGAGAGAGAGAGAGAGAGAGAGAGAGAGAGAGAGTAGGTCTGCTGTGTGGCGTGTGCGTCATTACCTCGGACAATGAACGCAGCCACCAAAAAGGGCAGGTTGTCTTCCTTTTGGCCTTTTGGAGTTTTATTTTTGTGGCGAGGCTGGGGTGGTTCGTGGACGTTGTTCCACAAACTGTCCCCTTCATCGGCAGGCCGCGGCAGGGCGCCGCAGGCGAGGCCAGGTCTAGTCGACACTCCCCTTCCCTGTCCGCTCCTTCACACACGCACGCGCGCGCGCGCGCGCACACACACACACACACACACACACACACACACACACACACAAGCCACGAAATGCACGCATGCAGACGCCCCCCGCTCGCCCGCAACGCCGCTCACGTGCGGAATTGTCCGAGCGAAGTTGCTTTGCTTTCGCACGGCCGTGTGTGTGGTTGGTACACTGCTAGTCGTAATGCAGCTGCACTGAAAAACCAAACGTGGTCCAGACCGCACCACTGGTGTGGTCAGATGGATGCCATTTTGACCACATCAGTTGGTGTGCTCTAGACCACGTTTGACGACGTATGGTGCGGTCTAGACCACGTTTGACGACGTATGGTGCGGTCTAGACCACACCAAACGGACCAAACGTGGTCTAGACCACACCAGCTGGTGTGGTCAAAATGGCATCCATTTGACCACACCAGTGGTGCGGTCTAGACCACGTTTGGTTTTTCAGTGTGGTGAAAGACCTAGGGAGAAGGGAGTTAAACGGGTGTGTGTGTGTGTTTTCTGTCCCTGAAGCAGTCGGATTACTGGTGACTAGTGACGCACCGAGGAGGTTTCACAGTGCAGGGCCCCACCCTGTCGTCGACGGCCTCGTGGATCCACCGCACCTGCCACCGCGCGGGGCTAATCACTCTGGGCGATCCCCGAGGCCCCGAGGACCGCGTCGTCCGTCCAAGAATATTGCGTCGCGTTCCCTCGGGTGCCGTTGCACAGTGGGCCAGAAGACCGGTGGAGGCGGCCAAAACTCTAGACGCGTTTTGAGCTCCAGAGTCACTACACAGGACCCGAACCGAACGTGTGACCCCACCAATGGATTCCTCGTTCGGAGAGCAAGCCATTGGTGGGGCCTCTCGTTCCGTTCGAGTCCCATTGAGCGACTCCGGAGCTCAAAACGAGTCGAGAATTTTGGCCGTCTCTGCCGGTTTCTGGCCCACTGTGCGTTGAGCCTCAGCCCGCGGGCCTCGGTGGCGCGGGCCGCCCGGCAGGAAGGCAACGCGAACGCACGCGTGCAGCGGGGTTGCCTATCCCGCGGCTGCACGGCGCGCTGCGCGCTGCGCCCGCCTGGCTGCCAGCTCTGGCGGCGGCGGGCTGCCGGCCTGTGGCGGCGAGTCAGCCAGTCAGCCGGCCAGTCAGTCAGTCCGTTAATTGGCGGCGCGCTGATGAAGACATCGGGGCGGCGCCCTGAATGGCGGCCCTGACGTGAATGGAGGCCGCCATGCCGTGCCGTGCCTCGCAGCGCAGCGATGAAACCATCAACTTCGATCAATCACCAAATCAAAACCGAAAACCCTCCCCCGCCCGTCGGCCGAGCGAAAGGGGCGCCGGGGGAGGGGGAGGGGGGGATTACATTAGAGAGACAATGGCGGGTGAGTGACGGTGGATGCTATAGACACCCCACTACAGACACACACACACACACACGCACACACAGGCCCAGCTTGCCAGCGCCGCTTAGCGAATAGTCCCACAAAAAGAAATGGTGGTGCACTGTATAGGGGGGAGAGTGGAGCGTCGCGTCGGGCGGCCCCCAAAAAAGCGGACCCGCGCGACGCGCCCGCGGCAGCGCGGCGCGATGCGTTCGGGCGTCGCTTCGCCCCGCCCCGCCCCGCCCCGCCACGCCATGCCCCGCGTCGCGACAGATAATGCCCGATGGAGGGCTGAAGCCGGCTGAAGCGGCTAAAACAGTCGCGCGGCTGCCACGCTTCCATTAGGGGGCATTGTGGCCCCGTCGCTCAGTCTCGGTCGCACCCGTGCGAGCGTCCCGCCGTGCCGGCCGTGCCGCGGCGGTGCGGTGCGGTGCGGGAGAGACGGTCTCCGTTCGGAGCGACAGGCCGCGCGGTGGCCGCGGCGGCGCTGCTTTGTCACGAGGCTCTTGTGGTGCGCCAGCGCTTCGTCGTCTGGAGCGAGGTCTGGAGGATCGGCGGCGTGCTGCGGTGCTGCGGCACTGCGAGTCCGAGGAGGCGGAGAAGGCCGAGTCGCACAGTGGGCCAGAAGACCGTTGAGGCGGCCAAAACTCTGGACGCGTTTTGAGCTCCAGTCGCTAAAATGGGAGTCGAACCGAGCGTGTGACCCCACCAATGGATTCCTCATTCGAAGAGCAATCCATTGGTGGGGTCACACGTTCAGATCGAGTCTCATTTAGCGACTCTGGAGCTCAAAACGCGTCTAGAGGTTTGGCCGCCTCACCGGTCTTCTGGCCCACTGTGAGTCGACGGAGACGGACGCGGCCCGTCGTTGACGCGACGCTGCTGCCGTTGGCTGCTTCATGCCTTGCCGGGGAAGCGTACCGCAGTATACTTACGGTGCAGCGGCGGTCGTAAGTCGCGAATGTCGCGTTATCGCGTCGCTGGAATGTAACGGGAGCGGCCGGAGCGGCCAGAGCGGCGGGGCGTGGGTGGCGCGCTGGTCTTATTTCCGCGGCATTTGCATTGTGTGATGTGTGTGTGTGTGTGTATGTGTGTGTGTGCGCGCATTCTCGTGGAAATGCCACATATTGGGAAAGACGGGCCGGATGAGGTAGTTGGGGGCAAAGGACGTACGGGGTGGAGGGGGTTGGGGAGGTGAGGGGGAAGGGGGAGGTCAAGTTCAACGGTGTACCACAGGCCCCGAGTGTGTTCCATTTGTACGTCACCGTTCTTGTACGTACTTTATTTTCGTTTGTCGATGAGTATCGATATTTCGCGCTGGGCCTGGTCCTTGTGCGTGTGTGTGTGTTTGTGTTTGTGTGTTCCGGGAACGTCTCTGCCTCGGCAATTTCGTGGCCCTCTTTATCCGAGGCCCGAGTTTGCACGGGCAGGCCCGGCCTCGGCCCGGCAGTCGGGGCAGTCGGGGGGTCAAATGAGAGTTTATTGGCGATTGCCGGTGGAAAATACACGCAGCGGATCGGTCGGATTGGGCGACACTTGCGATGCCACGGCCCGGCGCGGCCCGGCTCCGTGGTGGCACATATCCCACACCTCGGCCGTGCATAAATTGCTAAGTCCGGGAGCGGCGGGGAGGGGGAAGGGGCGCTGGTCCCGATCGAGACAGCCAGCCAGCAACATTGTTGCCCGAGCACGAGTCACCTCCTCCTGTCCTGTCGGCTTGCCCCCTGCCCCCCCCCCTTATTTTCCCCCAGCAGACCGATTCCAGCAATGCTTTCGTCGCCCTGTCTCTCTCGCACGTATGGTTCGCCGCCCCGGTCGCCCGACCGGGACCCGACAGATTTGTGCGTTGTTCTCTTCGGGCTTCAGGCTTCGCGCCTCCGAGAGCTGAAATCCTTGCGCCGCGCCACGCGGAACGCGTCATCGTTTGGCCGAACGACGAACCCGCGTCGGCAGCCAACAGCCCGTCTGCAAGAAGGCGGGGGATTGATTAGCTGCATTACAGTGCAGGGGGGATTTCGGGGACGGGGGAGACTGTGGGTCCGTTTGGCCCGGCAAAGTGAAGGAAGGTGTCCCAGCCCGGCCGGGCCCGGCCAGGGAGATTCCCCGTGGCAGCGCGCCAGCTGTGTTTAGGACCCTGCTGCGCTTGCTGAGATGCCGCGCCCCTGCGCCCCGCCGGCTGGACCCCCCAGGCTCTGTGTGTGTGTGAGTGTGTGTGTGTGTGTGTGTGTGCCACACGCCCAACCCAGCGCCTTCTGATTTAGCCCCGTTTGTTCACTTCCGTTGCCGATTCCGCCGCGAGGGGAACGGAATGGCAGAACCTCATTCCAAACGGATCAAAGAAGCTTTGTCAGGTCCAGCCGTTGTTCCCAAATGGTTTCTTACAGGCGAAATAGTGAAGATTAAATTAAGTGTTTCGTCAAATTAAATGTGGTGATCGTTTTTCTGGCCAGCACTGACGGTGTCCTTGTCTTCTGTTGCAGTCGTCCTGCTGGACACAACCCAAGAACCAACTTTAGAATGGACCAGGTTTCCCTACGGGCCCAACTCCGTGACGCCAGGGGTGAGTACATTTTGAAGACCCGGATGACCGCTTTGAGTGTGACTTCGCACGACTGATGATGATGATGACCCCCGAGAAAAAGTTGGAAAACCGAAAACCCTTGCAGCAGCGGCTCTCCATTCACGTTGGCTCGGCTCTCCGATGGGCGGCGCTGATTGGTGGTTTCGGCGGCCAGGAAAGGCCGAAGGGACGAACGACTTCCTCGCCAGAAACAATAATTCGAAGCGAACGGTACCGCACCGCCTCGCGCACCGCAGCACCGGGGCCGACCGGGGCACCGCAACGCAGCAGCACCTCCGCCGTTCCTTGCGGCCAACGAGAATTTCCGCCGGAAAGCGGGTGGAGTCGTCTCCTCTCTCTCGCGCCCCCTGGGTGCGCCCCATGAGTGCGAGAGAGACGGAGCGAGTGTGCTTGCAGCGCGTCCGTCGGAATGTGCGATGCGCCGGGGGCGAGACTCACCTGCTTCCAGGAAGGAACCAGGACGACCCTGCTGGGACCCGAGGACCCCTTGGAGGACCCTACGGGACCTTTCGGCGCCGTCGACGAAAGACTCGGAGGAAGCTCGGGATGATATAAAGCAGGATCGGCGAGCTGCCGCGCTTCGCTTGCTTCGCTCTGGACCGCCATAATCGGATAACCTCGCGGCGGGGCGGGCGGGTCGCATCGCCACCTTTATATTTCCTCCATAAAGCCTCGCGGCAAAAGGCTAAAGAGGGCACACGCGGGGACGCTGTGCCCCGCGTCCCGCTGCGTCTGCCTCTCTCGCCCGCACCCCCGCGCGGGACGCCCCCGATGACTACGAGAGAGACGCCGAAGCCGCGACGTCGTGCGGCGTCTTCGTCTCCATCCGCCATTTTCCGCCACGGTACAATAATTGTTGTTGGCGGCTCCGCCGCTCCGCCGCCTCGCCTCGCCCTGCCGTCCGATTGTGTTATTGGCGTCTGGAGTGCCGGAGTGCTTCCGGAGTGGCCGACGTCGTGCGGCTGGAGCCTCCAGCGTGCCTCCAGTGTGCCTCCGGACTGGAGTGCCCCTCCGTCCTCCGTCTCGCAGATACGTCCTCTCGCTCCTCCGCTTAATTGCGCGCTTCCCTCTCTCTCCCTCTCGGTTTGGGGTCATCGCTGTCGTCGCCATGCCGCCGTTGCGGCCGTTGCCGTTTCGCGGTTCCAGTTTTACGGACACCGAAGTGGGCCGTTCGGGCCGTGTCTGACGGCGACGCTCTCTCTCTCTCTCTCTCTCTCTCTCTCTCTCTCTCGCTCGCTCGCTCGCTCGCTCGCTTTGTGCGCGTGTGTCGGTCGGTAAATACACTGCGATGGGGCGAAATTCCCCCGGCTCGTGTGTCCGTCCGTCCGCGCGCTGCCTGCTGTTTGCCCAGCGACCCTGCCCGCGCATAAGCACAGCGAGGCACGGCGAAGCACCGCGCCGCCGCTTGTTCTCGTTTCGCCCGCGTTCGCAGCACCGCGGACGCCGCGTGAGTGCGAGAGAGACAGAGCGACGACAACGACTCTGGAAATCAGTCCGCATAGCCTCGCTGGAGTCTCCAGGAAGTGCGTGTTCGCGTTGCCGTCGGTCTCGGCGTTGGGGTTCGGTCAGGGCCGCGCCGGCCGCACTCTTGACGGTGTGGTGGCGTGCCGTCGGCGTGCCGGCGTCTCGCGTGCACGCGGCGCGTCACCAATACGCCAATATCGATGTAATTACAGGCGCCTCGAGCACGCGGCGCAGGCGGAGCCGAGGCGAGGCCTGCACGCTGGAAAAAGTCCAGCTTACCCGTTTCCGCCCGCCTCGGTGCAGCCGTCGCTCTGTCTCTCTCGCACCCTGGCGGTAAGCCCTGGGAGTGCGACGGAGATGGAGCGTGCGTCCGCTGCAGCAGGGAGAGCAGCGGGGCGTCGCCTTGGCGTCGCCTTGGCGTCGCCTTGGCGGCGGCGACCCCGGCGCACTCGCTATCTCTCCGCCATCGCGCCGAGCCACTGCGGGAGTACCTACGGGACTATCGGCAAAAGTGCACGGGTGGCAACATAAAAAAGGGCCGAAAAAAAGAAGGCAGAAGTGCGAGTTCCGGCGGTGCGAGTCGAACCCGCTCCGCGCGCACTCTTATCGCTGGAGCCATTATTGCAGCGGCAGTCCGAATCTACTCGCCGCGCTCGCGTTACGCCGCGCCCAGCTTATTCTCAATGTATTTCATTCTTTTTCCCGGCCATTAGTTTGCCGCGGGTGTTTCGCACCTGCCAACACAATGGATGACGTCACGGCCACGGGGTGGGTGCAGGTTGGCCGTATGGGGTATCCACATGCAACCGCGTGCTGTACCGCCCCGCCCCGCCCCGCGCCAATCCCGTTGTCCAGCTCGCAGGCCCGCCCGTCCAGGACTACGGGATTGCGTGTGGATTACCTGGGGGATTACCTCAGAGCGATGGTGGTTGTGGTGTGTGTGTGTTGTGTTTTGCGTGTTTCCAGCCAGGCCGCTTGCTGGAGGGCGGTGCTGGGCGGTGCTGGGGTCCGCTTTGTCCAGGCAGGACTAGGACCCTCTCCTCGGTGTGGACCGCTGTGTCAGCGCAGCGCTCTGTGGCCCCGTGCACTTTTTGAGCTGGCCCAGCCTTGCCAGACCTTGCCCCAGCCGTGCCGCCCGGCCCGGATTCTGAACGGCTGATTGGAGCCAAAGCAGCCGAGCTGCCCATCCAGGCCATTGGGTCGGACGATGTCTTCCGTGTCACTCGGGCCGCCCTGGCCGCCCCGCCTGCTCGTCGTGCTCGTTGGGCTTGGCCAGGCTCGGCAGGGCGTGGCGACGCGATGCCCAGTCAGTCATGCACAGGCGCCGGGCGGTCGGCCGGGCTGCCTCCGAGGCGCGGCGCCGTCCGCACCTGGCCGAACATCGGCGTCCCCGTGAGGACGGCGACGTCCCCCGCTTCGGACGCCACCGCGCTGCCCGGCGCTGCCGATGGCCGAAGATCGGCGAGGTGCGGTTCGTTGCGGGCCCGTCAGGTGGTGTCGGGTTGCGAGGGGAACATGGCTTGGCAAGCATTTGCCCCACCGGTGCCGTCGCGCGCCTTGCCGCAGGGCGTCCCGTGCGTCCCTCCCTTATTCTCGTGTGGAAAACTAAACGAAGACGTCGCCGGGATTTTTATCTATTTTTATGTTGTTGTTGTTGGACCGTTGCACCAGCCGAATTCTCACACATGGCTGGACGCTGCGTGCACCTCGTCTGGATCCCTCCCTCTCCCTCCCGCTCCCTCTCTATCTCTCTCTTTCTCTTTCTCTCCCTTCCCCTCACTCGTAAAGAGGGGCTGATGAACTAGACTCTGTATGGGTTATTAAGACCCCCGGCCCGTTTTAGGGGCCGTTTTATGAAGGCCGTTAAAACTGTACGGCGCGGGAAGAAGGAAAAAGAAGGGGCATTTATTATTCTTACGCCCCGCGGGCCGCAGGACGCCGCAGGAAGAGATAGGGAAGAGGAGGAAGGAGAGGAAGAAGACGAGGAGGAGGATGCGGTTTCCGCACGCACAGCAGCAGCGCGGTCTTGGCGGGGGCGGGACATTAAATATTAGTCGCATAAATTAGTGGTGGAGGGAAGTCCCCCCTGCAGGCTATGATTCCGCGTGCAGTCGTTTCGTCGCTCTGTCTCTCTCTCTCTCTCGCACGCGAGTGCGATAGAGGCAGACTGCTGGCCGCGACGGCGCGGTGTCCGCTGGAATCTGGTGTGGAAACTCCAGTCGACGGGGAGGTGAACCTGAACTCCGGCTGGACCGCAGTCTCGCCGGTGTGGGACGCCCGCCACCTGCAGCTGTCCCCGCGGGGCGGAGGTCCAGACGCGGCGCGCCGCGGCCACACTGCAGGGGGTGAAGGCGTCGGGGAGGTAGAGGGGCGGGGGCGGTACTCTCCAGTCCGCGGGCAGGAAAGCGCGAGTCGCTTTATTGGCCGGCTCGGCCGGGACGCCTCGACGTCCAAGTCGCCCCTTTTGGCGGCCGGCGCGGCCGGCGGCGTTGGAAAGCCGCATTGTTGACGGCCAGGTGCCGCGCTGCCGCCGGGCCGCGGCCGCGTCGTGGCGGTCCGGCCCGATAAGCATCGCCGGCCTGCCTTTCTGGAGCGGAGAGCGAACGGCTTGACCCCTGGCGTCGCCTGGCGGCCCTCGGCTCGGCGGACCTGGCCGTCGTGGAGGCAGTCCGTCGCCGTCACTCTGGACTCCGGCGACGTCGCCTCGTCCGACGGACACGAGCCGTCCTATCGTTATCCCATCACGGCGGCGCGGCGGCCCAGCCTGCCGAACTGCCGTCCTTATTTCGTCGCTCTGTCTCTCTCGCGCCGAGGCGACGCCCGGCGAGTGCGAGGGAGACAGAGCGGCGAGGCGACCCTTCGGCAGCAGCCTGCCGGGCCGGCGCCGGCCGCGCGGCACAATGGATGGGGATAGTACTTTCTCTGCGCGTCGCTTTGACGGACAGGTGGCGGCCGTCGTGCAGTGCAGTGCGGTGCAGCGCGGTGCAGCGCGAGGGCCGTCGCGGCGACCAGCGCCTCGACGCTCCGCCCCGCCCCGCCCCGCCCCGCCCCGCCCGCCCGCCCCGGCCCCGCCCGGGTCGCGCGGGCCTGATCTCGCCGGTGGCGGCGCCACTTTTATTGGCAGAGCGCTGGCCGCTGGCGCTACACTATGGGGCCCGGCCCGCGATGCAGTCGCGGGCTTCACGGGTCGGTGCCCGCGGCGAGGGTGGCCCGTCTGTGGGAGGCGGGGGCACACTGCCACTTTCGCCTCGTCCTCGGCGGGCCTGGCCGGCCTGGCCCCAGGCTGGGACTCTGCCGGGGCCCACCACGTCCTCCCGGCCAGGTGGGTGACAGCCGGGGCGGTCAGGCGGCACGGCACGGCACGGCACGGCACGGCACGGCACGGCACGGCTGGGGTCGGCGTGCGCTTTCTAGCGGCCAGCTAATTTTGTTGTTGTTTGTTTGTTTGCTCCTTGCTGCCGGACGCGTCATGTGTGTGTGTGTGAGTGTGCGCGCCGCCGGGAGGAAAAGCGATA